CCAAATGTTGTGAGGGGATAAAACTTTTTTTAAAAGATTGTAAATCTTGGAAAAGGAAAAACAAAAACAAAACTATTGTTAGAGGGATATAGAATGCTAACAGATATAGAATAGCAACAGCTAATGTGAATACCTAATGTGAATAATATGAACAGCTAATGTGAATCAACCTGTCCATGAGAGAAAATGCTTTTAAGATATTATATCAAACAGGAATTATCTCCCGGTTAGAATTGTGCATAGGGAAATGTATCCCAGTGTTTCTGATTTACATTCAAGATGTGGCGGAAGAACAGGTACCTTTGCCCACATTTGGTGGGAATGTACTTTGGTTATAAAACAGTGGCTGGCTCTCTCACATGTTAGGCATATTAGGTTATGAAATCCAACACAATCCACAACCAGCACTTTGGGACTAGTTAAAAGAAGAGTAAGAGATCGCATGGTGATGGTTATGCACATGCTAGCATAGTCTACTTATTTTTAGCCAAAACATGGGAAATGGCTCTTTTCAACCTATGGAGAAGGAAAATGTAAAATGGCATGCTGATGAATAAGGCCACCAGCTATAAATATTTATCTGAAAAAGGAATGGTTGAAAATCTGGACTTTACCCAATTTCAGAACTGATACAAACTTAAAGATTTAGCACCAAGGATATTTTAACAATGCGATGAAATCAAGTAGCTAGTATGGAAACTGTGGTGCGTCCAATACTACACAAGCAGAAGGCAAGCTGGTGAGATGGACCTTTCCCTTCCTCTGCTTTTCTGTCCCCTGTGCCTTTTGAACAGACTTTCCAGAGAATTTGGGAGAACCTAGCAACTCCATAGGCCATGCCTTACAGGGCTCCAGTGGGTAAGGAAATGGGCATTTCCTTGCAGTCTTGCATTCCACTGGCAGGCTTGACTTCCATGTGGATACACTGGATCAGGATTGAATTTAAAATCACTTTAATTCGATGATCTTAGTTAATATGTTTTGGCACTGGTTTCATTCTCTTGAGTTTGGGTGTGTGTACTTAAACCCTAACGTTTTTGGCAATTTTGCAGGGTGAGCTTAGTGAAAAACAGCTCCCATTGTGCTCCTCTAAAAGACACCTGAGTGTGTGCCCTGGCACATTCCCCAGAATATGCAGCAAGGCCCAGCAGCTTCACGGCAGGCAAATTGCTGTGGGAAAAGTTCTATGAAAAGTAGAAAGTTGGATAAGAACCACCGTTGAGGGTGTCCGTCTCAGATCATTAAAACTGTAGTGATTGCATGAGAAAACACTGAAGTTCTGTTCTGAGAGCTTGATTTATTGGCTTTATGATAATTTCTGAAGATACAGTGAGTATTTGCAGGATGTTTCAAGAAACTGCAAAATGTGAGATCCATGGCTGGGAAGACCCAGCTTCAGTTCCCCACACAGGAAGGAGGGACACAGAGAAGGGCCTTGGATGAAGGGAACAAGGTCTGGATTGGTTTGTATGGGGAGAGGCAGTCCTTAAGGTATTGAAGTCCTGAGCCATGTGAGGCTTTATAAGTCAGCACCAGCACTTTGAACTGGGCCCAGAAATGAACTGGCAGCTAGTGAAGTCGAACCAGGATCTGTGCTATGTGCTCAACTCATCCTTAATCCCTTATGCCAGTGTGATGTAGTGCTTAAGAGCAGTAGATTCGTAATCTGGTGAACCGGGTTTGCGTCTCTACTCCTCCACATGCAGCTGCTGGGTGACCTTGGGCTAGTCACACTTCCCTGAAGTCTCTCAGCCCTACTCATATCACAGAGTGTTTGTTGTGGGAGAGGAAGGGAAAGGAGAGTGTTAGCCGCTTTGAGACTCCTTCGGGTAGTGATAAGGTGGGATATCAAATCCAAACTCTTCTTCTTCTCTTCTTATGTTTGGCTGCATAAAACCTCCCATAACCATGCACTGAAAGCACATTGAAAGCACATCAGTTCCCCCAAATGAATCCTTAGAACTGTACTTTACTAAGGGTGCTGGGAACTATAGTTTTGTGAGGGGTGAATTACAATCCCCAGGATTCCTTAGTGGTGATAATCTGCTTTAAATGTGCTTTCAGTGTATGTATGTGCACACAACCAAAAAGACATGCTCAGCTCCTTGAAGGAAAGGCAGAATATAGCATACAAAATTTTATCCATGTTTTGCTTTCGTTGTAAAGAACAGTTAGCTCTGCTGAGCTGGAATCCTACGTCTCGCCGGCATATCATCAGAGAAATATCCCAGGCATTTTTCTGTGGGGCTGTGAAATAATAAGCAGTTATAATGACTTATGAAATGCTGCGTCCTATGGGGAAATGTCTTTGAACTGCGAACAAGCAGAGCACACTTGGCAGCACAAAAGAGGTTTTAAATATTTCAGCAAACAGGAGCGCACCAGGGAGCAGCTCCTCAAAGGCACCAGCCGCTAAACAGGCAGGCAGCAGGAGGAGGACAGCCCTCTTCCAGGTTGCACAGACAGCAAACATGATTTTTACGGCAAAGCTTTTCATTCGCTTAACAGGTTTGTTTGTTTTTTCGCTCGCAAAGAGCAGATGACTTAAATTACTGGGGCACCGCTTAGGCGGTTCGTGTTTTTTCAGGTGGTAGGAAGAAACCAAAGGTTCCAGGCTGAGCTGAAGAAAGCGAAAGATCTTCCTTTCCTCTCTCATGCTGATACTGATTGAAGTTTAAAGCAAGTAGCAGGGACAGTTACATTCAGAGAAGATGAGCTCAACTGTTGTATCAACTGCGATGGTCACTGTATGTTGCATCATTTATTTTTCTATTTATTTTTATACCTATATCTCATTTTTGCTTGGACAGCTAACATTCATTTCCCCAATGGGCTCCTACGCAGAGAGACTAATCACATCTACCTTTGCAGCAATTATGCTTGCCACATTGACTGCTCTGGGCTGTTTTCTGGATGAGTTACACACACTATTTTTTCTTTTTCTTTCACATTGCATTGCATCGCAGTTTGCATAACTTCCTGCCTCTTTCCCCCTTGTTTATATGCAGTTTTATCCCTGCCCCTACTGTACTCCACTGTCTTTCTTCTCTCAACAATAGGACACAGCATCTTCCCGAATTACTACAGGAGGATACGATGTGAGTGTGCTACACTCAGTGCTCTCTGGTACAGGGGGTTCACACTATTCTTGAGATGTATGGTAGTCTAGCTTGCACAACTCAATGTCAAGATCTGCAGAGTCCTGGCACCCTTATGCCAGTTTAAGTAAATGGTACCTGTGCATGCATCAAAGTACAGTGGTACCTTGGGTTACAGATGCTTCAGGTTACAGACGCTTCAGGTTACAGACTCCACTACCCCAGAAATAGTACCTCAGGTTAAGAACTTTGCTGCGAGAACCAGTGTGGTGTAGTGGTTAAGAGCGGTGGACTCGTAATCTGATGAACTGGGTTCTATTCCCTGCTCCTCCACATGCAGCTGCTGGGTGACCTTGGGCTAGTCACACTTCTCTGAAGTCTCTCAGCCCCACTCACCTCACAGAGCGTTTATTGTGGGGGAGGAAGGGAAAGGAGATTGTTAGCCGCTTTGAGACTCCTTCGGGTTGTGATAAAGTGGGATATCAAATCCAAACACCTCCTCTTCTGCTGCTTCAGGATGAGAACAGAAATCACGCGGCGGTGGCACGGTGGCAGCAGGAGGCCCCATTAGCTAAAGTGGTACCTCAGGTTAAGAACAGTTTCAGGTTAAGAACGGACCTCCGGAACAAATTAAGTTCTTAACCCGAGGTACCACTGTACATGTATGTAAAGCAAACAGTGAACAGTGATTCACTACATCGGATCACATGACCTCCAAATCACATTGGAATTAGTCTAAGTTGCAATATGGTGCCCCAGAAGTTCATCAGGTGCTCAAGGTGGATGATTGCCTGGTACAGGGATTTCTGGTACAGGGATTCCTCCATGGCTGAAATATACTCAGAGTCGAGTGTGAATTTCATGCTCTTTATTCAGCTCATAGTAGCAATGAATGAAACTTTCCCCAAAACGTCTAGCTATATATACATTATTTACACAATTGGCCCAGCGTGATTGGCTAATTCTGGGCCGCTCCTGCAGGCCAATCAGGTCGCTGATTCACTTCCACCTGGAGCTGGATTGGGTGGCTTCTGTGGACCAATCAGACTGCTGCATTCTGGATCCTATTATTCTAGCTCAGTACATAACAATGGCTTAACTTAGAATTTCCCATGTAGCCCCCTCTGTCCTAACTTTCAGTGTCAGGTCAAGTTGCTTTTATTCTTGAAGATGTTTGGTCTGTTGGATGAGGTAGTTTTAAGAAGCTGATCCCCTGTGTTTGGGGTCCCCCCCCCAGCAGCTCCTCTCTCTGAAGATTTCATGGTGCTATTCATCATTATTTTTTTGAGGTTTTGCAGGTGTTTTCATTTCCTCTAAAGAAGCTACAAGCTGCTTACTGCTTTTTAAATCTCTAAGCAGTATGCAACACAAAATACACTAAGCAATGCAATTAAACAAAATAATGCAACATGAAACCAGTAAAACAGTAGTACTAAAGCCCATAAAAACAGAAATGGGATGAAATTCAAATAAATCAAAATAGAGTACGATCTTAGCAAAAAGGCGAAAAGGTCAAAAAGTTAGGTCTTTTAAATTTCTTCCTGGATGTCCTGAGCATTGCAACTGTGAAAGAAAAGTGAGACATAATGCTTTCAATAATATTATCATAATAGACATCCCTTTTCAGTGCTTTTGAGACATTCCTCCCTGGACCTAGCTTTGAATGTTTTATGCCATCAGTTTGCTTGGGTACATTTCCCTATATATCACAGAATGTCAGGGTTAAAGTCTCTTGTGGTGCCATGCCAGACATGCCGTTGGATAGGGATTTATTGATCTATCTTTTTAAAAAAAATATTCATGAAATGACTTGTAAAATAAATTCTCTGTGCACTGCACAAAGCGGAAAGTAGAAGGGATCCCCAAAGGACATCTAGTCCAGCCCCCTGCAATGCCCACAGCCATCCCTGGGTGGGCTAGAACCACCAGCCTTCTGGTTAATAGCCAGATGTACTATCCCATTGTGCCACAGCCATGGGGTAATAAAATCAGGAGCAAAAATTCCACAAGAAGCATAAAACTACTAGCCTGCATAGTAAGTATATACATCTGTCTGTCTGTCTGTCTATCATTGCATTTCATTATACACCTGAGATGTATAAATTTAGCACCTACCTTATTTTTGCAAATTAAGTTGTTTTGAACTGTTTTAATATTAGGTTTTATTTGATATAATCCACCCTGGAACCTCAGGGTAAAAGGTGGGTAATCAATCATAATCATAATAATACAGGCAGACTCTGCAAAGCATCTGCCAATCATTTTGCTTTTCATAATGGAAGTTGCATCATCTCAAGGTAGCTGGTAGCATACAATCTTGTCTTGAATCACACAACAGCCAGCAGGTGTCAGTCTTTCCTTTCTGAGTTTTTGAAAAGCTTACCAACTTACTTCCCCAAAGTCTTAGCTGCCTGCATAGAACCTGCATAAAACCAATCAAACAAAATGATTCACACGGTGCCTTCATGACATATCTTCTTATCTCAGGCCTTCGGCTAACAATCTATGGCCTTCTAAACGGGGGGGGGGGGGGTATCTTTGTACTTCTGTCCATTTACTGTATTTATTTTTTCGGATTTGAACTATAAAATGGTGATTTCCTTGGGTCAAAATGAGAGTACCCCTAAACATTTTTTTTTAGAAAAAGCTCTGATGTTATCAGTGTCGGGTTTACATATAAGCTAAACAAGCTATAGCTTAGGGCCCCACTCTCTTGAGGGCCCCCCAAAAATTTAAAGGAAAAAACAACCCTGGATGTACATTTCCAAAATATAAGATAAAAAAACATATAAAACAAAACCTACACACAGCAACAGTGTTTTGTGTTGTGGATGGACCTATTAGGTCCATAAATTAACAAATAGCATATATTCAACACAAAAAACAGTGACAATTTGTTGTTGACAAAGGACAGCTGGACATATAAAGGGCCCCATTACCTTCAGTAGCTTAGGGCTTCATCAAACCTAAATTCAGCCCTGGATGTTATGTACCCCCCCCTATACTTTATACGGTCCTGTGACCCTCAGATTAAGGGTGGTATATAAATTTAATAAAAAACCTTAAATTTTTTGGTGCATCCTAATTCTTTTTCCTTTGCTGGGAAACTTAAGGGAGACTTAATTCAGCGGATTCCACCATTTTAGAAGCTGGTAGTTGAGAGCAGAGTAAAGGTAAAGGTACCCCTGACAGTTAGGTCCAGTCTCGGATGACTCTGGGGTTGCAGCGCTCATCTCGCTCTATAGGCCAAGGGAGCCGGCGTTTGTCCGCAGACAACTTCTGGGACATGTGGCCAGCATGACTAAGCCGCTTCTGGCGAACCAGAGCAGCGCACGGAAACGCCATTTACCTTCCCGCCGGAGCGGTACCTATTTATCTACTTGTACTTTGATGTGCTTTCGAACTGCTAGGTTGGCAAGAGCAGGGACCGAGCAACGGGCGCTCACCCCGTCATGGGGATTCGAACCGCTGACCTTCTGATCGACAAGTCCTAGGTTCAGTGGTTTAACCCACAGCGCCACCCGTGTCCCAACTTGAGAGCAGAGTACTTTTGCCTAAATGCAAGTTCTTCTGCTTTTTTGTATGTGTGGCGGGGAGAGATTTTCTTTAGTTCCTCCAGTCCTCCAGGGCCAGATATGCAACATATGTCTGAGGCCAATGGGTGGCTACTGAAGGCATGTCTTTTCTGGGTCTCTTTTTCGTTACAGCATGTGGGCTATGGAACACCTTCCTGGGGGAAAATCATGGGCCCCCATCACCGCCAGCCATCTGGCAATTAGTGTCGACCATCTGCCTCTCCTGGAAGGCTTTTTGACATAAGCCGAACCTGACTATTGTTTGCTGACCTGAATGTGAGCTGATGTCACAGTGGCTGTGGCTCTTATTGCTAATCACATTTTCATTTGCCCGTTTATTTTATTGGGTTTTATTGGGTTTTAAATCTGCATCAGCCACCTTTGCCAGGGGTGTGTGTGCTTTAAGTGGAAAGCCTAAATACAATTTTTAAAACAAATAATAACAACAACAATATCCTTCATTCTATGATTTTTATTATTTATTAGATTTATAGCCTACCTTTCCTCCAAGGAACTCAAAGAGGTACAGTGGTACCTTGGGTTACATATACTTCAGGTTACATACGCTTCAGGTTACAGACTCCGCTAACCCAGAAATAGTACCTCAAGTTAAGAACTTTGCTTTAGGATGAGAACAGAAATCGTGCTCTGGCGGCGCGGCAGCAGCAGGAGGCCCCATTAGGTAAAGTAGTCCTTCATGTGAAGAACAGTTTCAGGTTAAGAACTGACCTCTGGAATGAATTAAGTACTTAACCCGAGGTACCACTGTATTTGTGGTTTCTCCCCCACTCCCCATTTTATCCTCAGAACAACCCTTTGAGGTAGGTTAGGCGAAGCTAAGAGACCAGGCGAGTGATTGGCCCAAGGTCACCCAATGAGCTTCATGGCACAGCGGGGATTTGAACCCTGGTCTCCCAGGTCCTAGTCCAACACTCTAACCACTGCACCACACTGGCTCTGTTGCTGATCTCCTCCCCAAAAACTTCTGAGCCCCACTCACCATCTGAAACAGCTTGTCTGTGGTACCAGGGCCAGGCAGAACAGGTATTAGGTATCCATAGAAACCGGCAAAATGAAGGGCAGGGGATAGTTTCTGAACTGGAAAATTCCGTTTTCCTGGCATCCCATTGGGATTTCTCTTACGTTTTTGCATTTCCTTGATCCTCGTGGACTTATAATTACTACTGCTTAGACTCTAAATCCCAATTAGAGCAAGAATGTCTGTGCGCTGGCAAAAGCCCCAGCTTTCCAATTGTCTCTGTGGAGATTCTAGGGATGCCTTCATTCATATCAAACAGGTTTGCAGGCTTTGAACTGGCCCTGGTGCATTCTGATGGCATCCTTGCCTGGGTCTGAAAGGCTCCTTTCAAAGATTTATTGAATGCTCCACAATGAATTTCCACAAGCGTATCCCTAGTTCCTTAACAGGTAGCGGCATCGCTTTATCTATTTGAAACAAAACTTGTAATCTACTGCCAAAGTCTCACCCCAACCATTCAAGCACTATTGTAACACTTTGCACCATTGTGTGGTTTGTTAAAGATGCTCAGAATTGTAGCTCTGTGAGGCCAGCACCTTTAAGGAACTACAGGATTCCAAATGACTCTGAGAGTGGTATAATAGTGTCACATGGAAGATGGAGCAAGTTTGTTTTCTCCTGCTCCTGAAGGCTAGGACCTGAGCCAATGGCTTCAAGTTACAAGAAAAGAGATTCCGACTAAATATCAGGAAGAAGATTCTGGCGGTAAGAGCTGTTCGACAGTGGAACAGGCTCCCTCGGGAGGTTGTGGGTTCTCCTTCCTTGGAGGTTTTTAAGCAGAGGTTGGATGGCCATCTGTCATGGATGTTTGAGTTGAAATTCCTGCATTGCAGGGGGTTGAACTAGATGACCCTCAGGGTCCCTTCCACCTCTACAACTCTTTGTTGTTGTTGTTTAGTCGTTTAGTCGTGTCCGACTCTTCGTGACCCCATGGACCAGAGCATGCCAGGCACTCCCGTCTTCCACTGCCTCCCACAGTTTGGTCAAACTCATGCTGGCAGCTTCGAGAACAGTGTCCAACCATCTCATCCTCTGTCATCCCCTTCTCCTTGTGCCCTCAATCTTTCCCAGCATCAGGGTCTTTTCCAGGAAGTCTTCTCTTCTTATGAGGTGGCCAAAGTATTGGCGCCTCAGCTTCAGGACCTGTCCTTCCAGTGAGCACTCAGAGTTGATTTCCTTAAGAATGGAGAGGTTTGATCTTCTTGCAGTCCATGGGACTCTCAAGAGTCTCCTCCAGCACCATAATTCAAAAGCATCAATTCTTCGGCAATTAGCATTCTTTATGGTGTACAACTCTACAATTCTACAATTCTATGTATGGCTGGGATGTGCCCCCAATTTCACTCTGATGGCATTTCTATTTAGCAGGAGTTCACAGGCAGAATAACAGGAGTCTGCCCATTTGCTTTTTGATCCTATGCAATAAGCCACGATTCCCTCTCCACTTCCACTTCAAATGTGGGTCCACCATGTGCCCTTACTTCTTCACTAGTTTGCCTGCCCCACAATGTTTCGGGGTGCTTTTTTAAAAAATTGCTGTAATACATTTAAACAATCTGCAGCCCCAATTGTTATTATTCTTTCAAAAACACAAATGGCTTGTTTTTAAACAGGAAAATCACTCTGGGGAGTGGGAGAGATTGCTTTGTGATATCACAAGTTCCTAACCAATCAGCACTCCTGAAAAAAAGCCCCTCCTACTTTGAGGTGGCAAAACTTGTTCACCCTGTGCTTGATCCTCAGAGAAAGATTGTATGTGAGACAACAACATTGCTTTCCGTAGTGGTGTAATACCTGTTTGTTTTTAGCACAGGTCTAGAATTTCCCTTATGTAATGTACTAGCCCTGCTACCCATTGTGGTTGTTTGAAGATTGCTGTTGTTGATTTATAGGCAGCACATTTTTTCTACTTAGATGTGCTATTATAATATCTATGAACGACACAGTGGTATACATGCTCACAAGAATATCTGCACTGCCTGCCAGTGCCAATTCCCTCCCTCCCTCACTTCGGTTATGCCAAAGTGACGGCATGAAACATTGCCCTTGCTCTTATTTGGCTTGGTGACATCATTACATTGCCAAGCCAATTAGCTATGGAAGGAATTCAATGTCACATTAAGGTGATCATCCTGCCGGGGCAAGCAGATGGTACGATCCTCCCTCGCTTCCTTCAGTGTGCTGTTTAAAGGATTCTCCTGGCCCTCCCCAGAGCCAAAATCGAGCGGAAGGGGCACAGAGGGGAGGAATGACCCATTGCGCAAGCGCTTCCACTGACTTGGCTTTCTGGCTGATTCCTGCCCTATATGTAGCATCATTACAAGCCAAATCAGAGCAAATCTTGCCCTCAACTCTGCCCACATCATCAGAGGGGTGCTGTATTCGGCACCCCCTGAAAAAAAACCTCACTTTGCCGCACACCTTTGTGCCATGGTGTGAGAAGGATGGGAAGCTTCTCCTGCGTTTGATCTTGCTGTGATAGCAGCAGAACATTGCCACACACATGTCATAAACTCCATATCAGCCTAATCTTTTATTTCCCTTCAATTCCCTCCCCCTCCCCTTTTATGAAGATCACCCACTCTGAGACCCCACAGCTAATTCTCCCCTGGCCTCCTTACTGGCCCAAGTAGGACCAATTCAGCCAGCTAGCCCTGGGGATTATCTAATTGATTTTTGATTTTTGAATTTTATTGTTCTTCATGTTTTTATACTGTATTTTAAAGTGCTTAAAATTTGTTGTTCGCTGCCCTGAGCCCGGTTTTTGAAGCGGGAAGGGTGGGGTATAAATAAAAAATTATTATTATTATTATTATTATTATTATTATTTATCATAGTCTGACATGTGATTTTGAGTCCCTCTGGGCCTGCATCCCTGACGGGTGCTGGTTTCACCCCCCCCCGTGTACGCCTCTGCACATCAAGAAGCAAAGGGAAAATAGAAATCCTGCTACTCAGCAAAAGGGAGTGCCGATATCTGCAAAGTACTCTGGGCTTATTATGCAGAGAGGCGTAACTTAGCCAGGGGGTGACTGTGTGTGTGCTGAATCTTCCAGCATGGGGGTCACTGCCTTGGGGTGTACAATGCTTTGTTTCCCTGCTGATTCTGGAACAGGGTAGTTCCAGACCCATTTAGGGAAGCATTCTACCTGAAACAGAACCTGTGGCTTTTTTTTTAGAACACGAAAAGCACATCGATTCACCTCCATCCCCACTTGCGTCCCTCACTGTACTAGTGAGATGCAGTCCATCTGGTTAAGTAATAAACAGAACACCCAAATTATACATCGACAAAGGATACAGTATTTCCTATTTTACAGAGGGGAAGACAGCAGCCTGAGAACATAGGAAGCTGAGTGAAAGGGGTGGTCTTCGCCATCCTTTACCCAGGCAGACACAGCCCCCCCCTTCCACCATCTGTAATTCTGCAAATATGTACTTTGTGACTCCATAAAACTCCAGGAAAGCACAAAAACAAAAAGTAGTCAAAAAGCTGAGAAAGATAATGTGACCCAGCATTCCAGGGTGTTTATGTAGAGACCACACACATGCATAGGCACCCTATCTGATGGGTATGGCTTGTTCCACTTACCAAGAAAGCACACAGTGGAAATTTCCACTGCAAGTCACAGCCCATCCCCAGCATTTAACCCTAAACTTCCTGAGCTGTTGCAACTCGAGTGATGGTTGAAAAGCACAACCTTTGCTTTAGTAAAGATAATGATTTGCAACCCATTTTTAATCTAACCTTCGCAGCTGACCAATAATAAAATCATTTTTGAATTTTTATTTTTTTAAAATAAATTGAGATGTACCCTTTAGCTGTGATGATCTGAACCACCTTATCTACTTTCCGCAACTCAGCTCTCCTCCCCACTGCCACGGTCAAAATTGCTTTATACAAATATAGCTCTTAACTGCAAAAAAAAGAAGTTCGTTGGGATACATCTGGCAAAATATCACAGTGATGATTTTGTTGTGAACATGTGTACCACTCTATTATTAACTGATATTATGATCACTGTACTTTGCTACAGCACTATGTATGGCACAGGATAAGAAGATAAAGAACATAAGAAGAGCCATTGTGGTTTAGTGGTTAAGAGCGGTGGACTCGTAATCTGGGGAACCGGGTTCGCTTCCCCGCTCCTCCACATGCAGCTGCTGGGTGATCTTGGGCTAGTCACACTTCTCTGAAGTCTCTCAGCCCCACTTACCTCATAGAGTGTTTGTTGTGGGGGAGGAAGGGAAAGGAGAATGTTAGCTGCTTTGAGACTCATTTGGGTAGTGATAAAGCGGGATATCAAATCCAAACTCCTCCTTCTCTTCTTCTTCTTCTTCTTCTTCTTCTTCTTCTTCTTCTGGATCCAGCCAATGGTACATCTAGTTTGGCATCCTGTTCTCACGTGATATGTCCACAAAAGACTCTCCTACCCTGTGGTTTCCAGAAACTGCTACACAGAAACATCACTGCCTCCAACTGTGAAGGCACAGCAGAGCCACCAGGCCTACTAGCCACCGATCGCCCTCTCCTCCAGGAATTTGTTCAGTCAGGTGCAGGCTCTGATCTTTCCATTTTCAGCGGTGCCCCCTGCCAGTCACCTTCCGTTCTGCTCAATTCACTACATCAGGTGGAGTACAGGGTCAGGTTTAAGGTGCTGGTTTTGACCTTTAAAGCTCTATGCGGCCTAGGACCCACGTACCTAAGGGACCGCCTCTCCTGGTATGCCCTGCGGAGGACCTTAAGGTCCACAAATGACAACATTGTGGAGGTCCCAGGTCGCAAGGTGGTTAGATTGGTCTCAACTAGGGCCAGGGCCTTTTCAGTACTGGCCCCGACTTGGTGGAACGCTCTGTCACAAGAGACAAGGGCCCTGCGGGACTTGACATCTTTCCGCAGGGCTTGCAAGACAGAGC